TAAATATAATATTTAGATACAAGAAATCAATGACTAATTTCAAGTATCAATAATGTTCAACAAGTTGCGAGACAAAATTTTATTTTTATACAAAAAAATAACTATCGATTATTAAATTTATAAGTTCTTTTGCCAAAAAATCTTTCACCACAAATTTTATTTGATTCTTTCTGTACAAAAAATTAATTATAAGTTATATCGCAAAAACTGATACATCAACTTCTACAATAACGAAATTTCTTGTGGCTTTAAATACTAAAAAGTACGACTCTCCTAAAGTAGACATAAAATCAAATTTATTTCTATGGCACAATTTTTAAAAAATATGTCATGATGCAGTAACTCTATTGTAAATATCATACATAAATTTGTGATTCAAATAATATAAAATTTGATTTTATGTTATATCAACTTTTTATTACACAAGAGTATGATAAACGTTTGCTTCTATTTTTGACTCGATGGAAATTTAAAAAAAAACAACTTTAGTGTGTCTAAATAAAAACATTAATTATTTGTAAAAGTATATGGCCTAGTGAAAAAAAGGAACTGTCTTTTGTATAAATTAAAAAAATTCATGTATAAACAGGAATACTTTAAGAGTAACCACATGCACATTCATTGATGGGGTACAAGCATTGAAAGATGCCATTAATTTTTAATAATCATAATATCAACCGAGTTTTTATGGATTTTCTTCCTTTAAATATCTGCAAACTTAGCATTACAACGAAGTAGAAAAAAAATGAAGTTGTAACAGAGCATCTGAAAAACATAAAGACCGCAAATGATAAATATTAAATATACGCGCAAACATGAAGTTGTGCGACATATCGAAGTATCTGAAATATTTTTTGTAATTTTTTGCAAAAAGCTAGTGTACGTTTTTTTATGAAACTACAAGGATGACGTTGAAAATTGTGATACAATATTATTATGCGATGTATAGTAGTTGTATCCGAGGAATGAAGCTAGATGAATGCGTACCTGACGAAACACAAAAGTGAGATTATTAGTTAAAGGATGACTCGAATTGTATACTTTTCTTAATCAAAAACATGTTTTCCTTGCGTTAATTGAATAAGTTTTTTTACGAAATTATTGAAGTGAAACGCTATGAAGTGTCAATATAATGATGTGGACGTTTTTGTTTAAAAGAGATAGTGAAAGAAACATATTAAAGACATTATGTAAATTGTTGTTGATGATGATGATGGTGGTTGTGCTACTGTTGTACGTGTCAATTAAGAAAACGAAAATATGATGTTAAATATCTATAGGCTACGAAACAAAACATAGACTTTATTTCGGCAGGCAGAAAGTGTTATTTTTGTATATTGTGAGCGCTCGTATGATATAAATTACTTGTTATTGAATAGTAAATAAAATTTTCTTCGGAGAATCCGTGGATCTATTATCACGATTCTTTAATTTGATTGTTCGTTCGAATAATTACATCTGGAACTATTCGCAAGCCCTATGAAGTTTTTTCATTTTTTTTAGATCAATTAAACTTTGATAAGTTGTAATAAAACTGTTTATTCACAAACTTGCAGGATTTGACAAACTTACAAATAATGAATTTTTTAAATAAATTTCTACCATAAATTGTTTTTAACAGAGTCAAAACAAAACAATAGTTGATTTATACCGATTCATCTTTTTCATTAAATTTTTTCGTTATGCATCATAAAATACACACAAAATAACGTTCATACAAGTATATAATTACATATAAAACTTGTTTTAATAAAAGGAGTATAAAAAAGTTTTAACAAAACATTGCTCTATATTTCTAAGTATTGACTTACATTTTCTTAAATACTAAAAAATGGTACGATTACATTTTTTTCGCATCTCTTCATCGTCACAAACAATACTTAGGAACTACAAAGCTTGTATCGTACAAAATTCCTCCCTCCTGAAATGCAAGGTGCGTAAGTATCATGTAAATACAACTGTGCTATAGGCGCTTCGTAAATAATGTCGTCGTACTGTGATGACTGTACATCTTTTCATCTGAATTCATCGTGAAAGCTGCCCTCGGTATCGACCATTTTGCTGCCCAGAAACAGATCTGTCTTACTAAGAACTTCCGAAAGTTGAAGCTTGCCGTCGTGATTGACGTCCGACAGTTCGATTAAATGATTAGCCTCTTGTATTGCGTGTCTTGGATTTCTCGGGTCTATGTATGCCTGTTTTTGAGTAGATAATTTTTTTTAATTTTCATAACCGTTTCTCTCAAAAAGTATAGGTGGTTCTACTAGGTCAGCTTACCAACAATTCAGATCGATCGGCTTTCCCGTTTTTGTTCTTGTCAATCAGATGGCGGAATTCCTGGCGGCGCTCTTGCCTCACAGGCATAGATACGCTCGGTTCAACGTTGACACCCTCCGACGGAAGATCGGAAAATTCATCTTCCGTCAGCTGCTCGTCACCATCACGGTCTTTGAAAAAAATAAAACGTATTTAAGTCAAAGGCTGAGTACTTTTAAGTCAAATACATGCTTTACTTATAATAATGTTTCTATTTATCTTGAAGGCAGAAATTTATAACAACAAGTTTACCAATAAAAATCTATGTTAAGTTTAATTAAAATTTTTACCACTAACAGAAGTTGCCAGTTGAAAATAGAATCGATCAATGAATGAAAACTATAATAACCTGATTATATTGAAAGAAACAGTTTGATTTAGCTCATCGTTTTGTTTGAATGCTGTATTATTATCTATAATTTTCCTTAAAATGTTCAATAAGTTTTTTAATAGCGTTCTCGGTGTGCTTACATATTTTTTACAAACAATGAGAAAAATATTCATATGCGTACCACAAGAGTCTGCTTTAAAAAAAGTAAACACTCAGAAAGATCGTTTTTGAAAATCATCATCGTATCAAGGTATCAAAACTACCATTAATCTTACTTATAATGTTGGTAATAGACTTGCTGATGACATAATTTATTTTCTTCTCTAACTGTCAAACAAACGATAAAAAAGAAAACTTACCAAACTTATCGAACAGATCCTCAACCATCTGGAGCAGTGCCCGGTGACTGCTCTCTGGATGAGTAAAGGCGAGAAACTCGTCCAGAGTGAGTTTATCAGGATCATTCCTCGCAGCCTCGGACCACCGAGCCCTGTCCCTCACTACGGCCTCTTTCTGACTGCGCGACAGTTCCAAGTGACGCTCGTTGTAGGAGTCGATGTAGTCCTCCGATAAACCATTCGAGCGCAAAAAGTGAGCGTGGTACTCGTCCCACGAGATTTCACCTAATTATAACATGATTGAGTAAGCTCGTTAAAAAACTAAAAGTGGTAATTATATCACAATTGATACTGCTAGCTTAAACATTAATAATTAATGAATTGCAATATGAAAAAATAAGCATTTACTTATAATAAAAAAAAATAGTTTTATTTGAAGCAAATATTAATACAATTTTTATTGTGGGAATCAATGAATAGTTATGCTTTAGTTACTTAAAATCATTAAATATTAATAGCTTTGTAAGACATGACTATTTATGAATATTTATAACGACATATTTCTGACTTTCACGAATATTAACTAATTTTAATGTAATTTTTAATCCATAATCACGACAAAGGAAAATTAATGTTTATACATAAAAATTTTGTGAGATAAAATTGGAAAAAATAATTCTTTATCAAATTTCTTCCTTAAATCTCCTAGTTATCGATGTTAAAGTTATGTTTATGAGAAATACATATATATTAATTTAAATTAATGTACATTCTGATTTAAGGAACTTGTATTAAACTTGGAGGTTAATTTATTAAAGTACTGTAAATATTTATTTAAAATAATATGATACTAAAAAAATAATTACAAGATTTTTATAAAAAATTCGAATATTTACGGAAAACATATAGAAATTGAGAATACTACAATTATTTTACACAAGATGGCATGTAAGTCAACACTAAAATACTCCATTACATTATACTGTTTTTAAAAAATAATAGATACCGTTTGATAATTTAAATATAAAATTAATCCGCTCTTTATTTTATGTATTCAAATGAATGAGATGACGTAAAAATTTTCCAACTTTAAATAAATATTTATTTCACTAAAATACATCTTTTTTAAATCTGATACACTGATGTCAGTAAAATTTTTTTTTTAAATGTATAGTATTTATTTGATGGAGCGTAAATATGCTTTTAATAAAATAAAATAGTTTCTTGTACGCAAATAATTCATTTCATGGAAAAAACAATACATCCACTATAATTTTTTGGTTAAAATCAATTTAATGTAATTTATGTAATGATTTTTTTAAACACAAAGTTTTTACTGATCAAAATAATTGTTTACTCTAATTAATGAAGTACTGAATTGAGCAGAAAAAAAGATCATTTCATTCAAATATAATTGAACAAGATACTCTGTAAACGTTATGGTTACTTCTGCTTGGATCGAATAAATATTAATATTTAGTTAACTGAAATAAAGGTTTTTGAAATCAGCGGCTTCGGTATCAGTAAACATGTTTTTTTTTTTTTTTTTTTTTTTCTTGATAATGTCTCTATAATATAAAATATAATTGATTAGAACAAAGTAATATAGTTTTTTGTAGGTATTTCAATAAATATTTCATTTAATGAAAAACAAGTATTTAACTGATATCATTTAATAGTTTCGCACTCTAATTAAAAATAAAAATCTGTCACATCAGTTGTAAAACTATTATTCGTAAATAATATTTTAACGTATTGTTTCATTCAAAAATGAATAAAATTTAAATTAATGCACTTGTTCGGACTAATGTAATTTTTTTTTTTTTTTTTTTTTTTTTTTAATAAAGTAAATTAAAATCTCATATTTTTTTCCACCACAATTGGTGTTAAAAAAATCATCATTATTACGCAAAGCTCACCGTTTCGTGGATTGCTATCGATAGAGGTGAAAAGTCCGATGTTGTCCCTCATAGAGCGATCGATGTGGTCTATGATCTTTGCGTGTATCCACTTGGCCAGCTCCCTGATATCCAAGAAATCGTCCTTGTCAGTGTCAGCTTTCCAAAATATCGTTTCCAGCAGTTTCCTTGAATCCTCGCTCGCGGATAGTCGGACTCTCTGCTCGTCTCGAGTATCAGAATTGCCGCTGTCGTCGTCGCTCAATTCATTCAGGAGTTCCTCGATGTTAACGCCACTTCTATCGTTCGATTGTACCGGATCGTCTGTTGGCTCATCATTTTTCAGGGGCATCGAGTGCCGGTAGTAGACTACCAGTAGACATGCGTAAATCGTCAGTGCGAGGAGTATTGCTGCCCGTGGAAAGCGCAGTCTGGTCATGTCAAGGATATTAATCAGGGCTTTTTTCAGTCCAGCGTTTTTAACGTTGAGCTATTTTCTTTCTATCCTGACTGGAATAGCAATATGATAGTATACATGGTGAGAAGAGATAACTAAGCTCAAAATACTAAGCAAATGAAGGAAGCTCAGCGTAACAAAGAAGCTGTCATTTAATACTAGTCGTACAACTGTTCAGATTGAAATTTGTATTTTATGCATTATATAGTGATTATTTGACAAGTTAAATAAAAATAATCTTGATACAATTATTTAAAATTGGAGTTGTATATTTTCTTCGTTGCTAAAATATTCCAATGGTTCTTGATTCTCAGTGTCTCGAATAAAAACTAAATAAGAGTTGCAATTTTCAGACTTGAAGACCGAAATGAACTATTCTCATTTACTTTTAAAATCAAGTATTCAATTCAATTAAAACAAATATTTTTCGTTTTTTGCAAAACTGCATTCACTCCTCCATCAAATGGAAAGCTCAAGTGATTGCTACTCCTTCGGTGTATTGCACGCACTCCTGATTATTCACTAATAGCCCAATAACTCAACAAATCGGAAACCATTTAGTCATAAAAAAAAGAAAAATATACTATTTTCCTATCTACTGAAAGTAAAGTCACACGAATCAAATAAATTACGAGACAGAGCCTATATTATGCGGTAAGATTCATTGAAGATACATGAAAACATTAACTACCGGCGTATGCACACAATTATACACCATACCGTACTTGGCACTGTCAAGTATGTACTACATTGCCGCGGCTCTTAAAATAACATCACGGAACAGCTGTTGCCAAAGTACATTTTACTCGATAAAATTTTTCATCCCTTACTCTGCACTACATATCTTTGCGTAATGTATCCACTATTGTTGCCACAACTGTTTATATAAATCTATTACCTGATATATTTCTCCGGTACCCACATAGTCCAATATTATCAGTGATTGCACAAGTGTCATATAGACGTACGGACAAGGCCGGTGCATGCGCCGTGAAAGCCGAGATTCCGCTGCCAGTAGCGCAAAATTCATGGGCTTCGGCAGCTGTAGCTCCTCGGCGTCATCGTCTCGTCCTCCTTTTCCTGCCCATTCTCTTAACAAATAGCCCCTCGAGTACACTATTACAATTGATCCACCAGTACAACAATCGTTTAGTCTCCTTTTTTTCACTTGTCCACAAGATCAATGACTATTTAATTTTACTGTAGCCAAAACAGAGGCTCGCGTCTGTCTGGCGGTACGGCGTCGCACTACCACCTCCTACCCACCAACCTCGACTATCGATCCGCTTTCACCGCATCTAAACCTACTTTCCCAACGGCCCCTTCCTCTCCTGGTTTGCTTGCCACGGCTCCAGCGCACTCCGTTTTCCCTTTCTCTTGTTATGTCCCGCGCTCGATAACTCTCCGCATGAATCAGGGCTCACACAGGCTTTGTTACTCAATATAGTGGTTCTAGCTTTTCACCGGCTTCCTTTTTTTTGAGAAATTTTTTTTGTGAGCTTTCCATTCGGGCACAAGTGATGGCTTCAAAAAAGTCAGCTGTATCTATACTCTTTTTCTGTACTTTACAAAATTACAAAAAAAAAAAAGTTCACCCCTCGTTTTCTATCACGTGATAATCAAAGGTCTATCGACCAACAGTTCGGTCTACCAATCGAGACTTTTTCCGATGATTACACTGCCCCATTTTGATGAAAATTCCAACAAAACACCAATATAGCGATCACTAAACTCTCGCAACTATCCGGATCGTACAAATTGAGAAACACAAAAGACGATTCCACTGCGAAGATTAGAAACGCCGGGTGCCATTGTCATTCATTCGCGCTATTTGCGGCGTTTTCCTCGCAACTCATCGAATCTTCTGCATCTCCGCCCCTTTGGCTGATGAATTTCTCTTTTCTCTCAGCTTCTGTTTTCCTTTTCCAGTGAGTGGCGTCTATACAGCGAGACTTGAATTTATTAATCTCACTTGAGCGCCTCTCTCGACTGCAATTCCGCATCAATCGGTCGTGCCCCACTTCAATTTATCTCATTTTATAATTCCTAGCCGTGGTGCCATTTATTGGTACGAATGCTGATGCTCCAAGTGATATGTATTATACACGCTGCCTTTTCATTCGCCACCACAATGAACGCCAATTTTTATTCATCGAAGCCACTGGCGTCGAAAGAGTTGGACAGCCCTAGGTCATTTGCCAATTGGTGGCTCCTAGTTACCTCGTTATTATCGTAAGACCCAAAAAATAAACTAAAATATATATCTAAAGAGAGTTTTCCTTGCCCATCTTGATTAGATGCAAATTTGCCAATTAAATATCGGAAAACCAGCTTTGCAGACGAGTATACGTACATACAAGTTCAACTCGATGAAAAGAGCCGTGGCACGTGGATAAAAGGACCCAGTTACCCATTAAATTTCGATCGAATAACCCATGAATCAATAAAAAATTACTTATTTGATCATACACTCGACCTTATTTCGAGGAAATGAATATGATTGTTACCGAGTGCAGAGATTCCATTCAATTCACGTCAGTTTCATTTCCTTTGACTTTGCACCCAAGAGTTCATCAAACAGAGGCGGGAAATAAGTCAAGTAGTACACTCTACCGGGATCTTTTTGGAGCCAACAAGAATGGAGAATAGAGAGAAGAGTAAGAAGCTGGGAAAAAAAAGGATGTCAAAGTAAGAGTAGAAAAACAGAAGTGCGAGAGCGCGCTTTTTGCGACTGTCTTGCTAGGGAGAACTTTTCTATTTGGTCCATGTGCCTTTTCTTAGAAACTAATGCACGCTTCGAGATAGTAATTGTATTATACATTGTTAAAAAAAAAAGAAATGTTTTTTTTTTGAGCAAAGAATATAACGATACGTATTTGGAAAAAGATTTCATTTTCAAGTGTTTGAAAATCGACAATATAATTGTGCCCTATTCTGAACATGTGCATATTGTATGTTTAAAACGCAATAATAAACTTTCTGCAAACACAATTTTATATTTTGATGCAGTAGTTGTCACATATGACAATAAAGACAACAATTTTTTTTTTTAAGTATAGTATATACATAAGTAGTACGTACCGACATCGTGAGTCAAACATGAAATACATAAGTGATAAAACTTTAACAGACTTCTAGTTTGAAATGTATTTTTTAGTACTACTTAAAAACTATTGTACGAATCAAATCGCTTTTCATACAAAATACAAGCATCTTTACTGTCACATATTTATTGATCAACTTCTACCATTTGCACGAAGAGTAGGCAGAAAAAATACTTTTCTTTCAACGATGAACCGTACAGAACCTTTCCTGTGCTACGAAGTTTACATACATAATATCTATCCTCGCAGTATCCTCCAAATCGAGGATACGTAAGCCAAGTCTTGTCATCAGGTACGTAATTATAGTCATTAATCTATTAAAGTGTCTACAATAAAATCTTTGGCTACATTGCTTAGTGCTACGCTCAATAATTATTAAAAACAATCCGTCACTACTTTTTAGTAAAAATATACGTATAAATGAATTTAAAACGCAATAGTAGCCTCTAATTTAATTTAACATGCCACAAATAAGTACCTATGTAAAAATTAAAAAATGAAATTCTCAGTAGTACTTTGCCATTTTTTAAAAAAATATAAGAAAGAAAACTTACATCGTTTAAGGAATTAAAAATTATTAGTAGTAAATTCAAACTAAACTCACGTCCATCTAAGATTTAAGCGTACACTATGAACCAGCACAAAGTTAAAAATTCATTATTTGCCTTTATCTGCCATTGATTCAATGACAATCACTGATAACAATTCAAAATTCAAACCGTACATGAGAATACACACAAACTTTTTTTTTCCAAACCATCTACGTCAGTGTGGAGTCCAAAGTTGGCTCCCGTAAATCGATCACCAAAAATGATACCCAAAACCAGTGGAGATGCTCAAGGTTTCAGGTATTCTTGTTTTGTTTTTTCGAGATTGCCATTGACCTCGATTTTGGGCTTCTCATCGTTCATCCCCAGCGCAAGATTCGTAATACCGTGAAGTCCGTGGGACGCGTGCTGTGGTTTCGATTTCGTGGTTCCAATGAGTCGTCGAATCGGTGGACTGAGCAGGTCGTGGTCGAGATCCGCTGGATCCTGGAAGCCCGTGATGTAGCTCACTGCCACTCCGATTACCATTGTGCCGATGCAGCCGATCGCACTGTACCACAGGTAGCTTATCTGCATTCAAATGACAATATTTTTTCTCCTATGAATTACTATTTCTCGTCCATTCCGTACTAATAATCGCGCGGTTTATAGTTTCGCCATATTTTCAGATACCTTATGATACTCCTCTCAAAGCTACAAAGTTATCTACAGACAATTGCTCTAACTCAGCATTGTAATTATAAATAGTGGAAAACTGTAAAAAAATAATGCTGTGACTCCAATTCATAGGAAATGAGTCGACTCAGTAGTATTGTTCTAGTTTTTCTTGAAGTATTTTTCACATAAGAGGAATAATTTCAGCTTAGTCATATAAATAAAATAATTCTGATTCATCAAGAATCGTCCTTATTCAATAATGAAGCTTTTGTTTACAGCAAATGATTGTAACTTCTTCAAAATAATTCTAATTCATAAACTACCAAGTCAGCCGTCTGAGGTGTACTTACACCGAGTTAGTATAAATTATGGACATTATTCTAGTTTTTAATGTGATATTAATTGAAGGGGAATAATTTTGGTTTAGCCCTGTGATTCGTATTTTGGATCCATTAATCTATTTAAAAAAAAAAAGTAATTTCATTTACTTTAAATTAATCAAATATAGATTTGGGATTCTAATTGACAGAAAATCTTTCTAACTTCACTTTCGCTCAGTACAACTATGATAATAAACCTTCCAAACAAATAATGAATCCCACAAAGACCACTCACTCTGTAAACGAACCAAGCCTCGTGTCCGTGCGCCTCAACTGAGTCGAGTGATGGCACCGCTGCGGTAGCGGTACTGTTTAGACAGGGGCAGTTTTCAATCGACGTGTCCAAGGTCTTTTCAATGATATCCCCACGCAGTGCCGAGATTTGGGCGCCCAAACCGATCCACAGTACCACAATGAGGCTGATGGTGGCACCGGTCACAGCTCCACGAGCGTTGGCCCAAGGCACGAACATGCCCAGCGAGAACAGACCGAGAGTGACGCCACCGACCATGCCGTTGAACGACAGTGCAACCTGTGCTTGTTCATTAAAGTTATTGTTTATTTTTACATTGGCATATTGGCATTGGCGAGAAAATGTGTTTGGCACCTGGAGGACGCCACCGAGCCGCTCGACGACGAAAACGAGAGCGAAACTGAGTAGACCAAAAAACACACTGATCCATTTGGCGTAGGCGGCACCTCTGCTAGCGGGCATGCGGATCTTGAACAAGCCTTGCAGCACGTCCTCGCAGGTTATCGCTGCCAGAGAATTTAGTGCACTCGCTACGGTTCTGCAAGAAAAAAGGGCATCCACGTTTAGAACGAATCACCAAGGATAGATATGATTTTGGGTTTTTACCCGAGCGAGGCGGCAAAAATTCCTGATACAAAGAGGCCTGGCACGCCCTTGGCGGCTCCCATGAAATTCATGACATAGAGCGGCAGCAGTTGATCCTGGCCCGTTATGTGTTCGGCGGTAATGGGATCGCATCCCTTGTACGTGCTGTACAGTACCATGCCAGTCATGAAGTTTATCGTGTAAATTAGAATGAGGCCAATCGCCGACACCCAGAGAGCTCTGCGTCAAAATGGTCGTAAATGGCATTAATTTTCGCTATCGTAACAATATTTCCAAATTTCTACGAGTTCTGTTGCAGAGAGCAACATTTTTTGGGAAAAATTGTTCTCTTTTTTACATATTAAAGTACAATTAAAACAAAAAACCATTGGCTTTAATTTTTCTCTTTCTTTGTTTGAATAGGTTGCCATACATTGTTTTGTCACCTTGTATGCTTTTTTTTTCTGAAAAAATTATGGCATTAAAAAATCGTCTTTTATCTAACTACAACAATTTTTCAAAAGTATTATTTATAACACAGTAGCTTACAAATTTATTTCCAGCTTAATAAATGTGTAAAATAATCACGCCTCAGTTTGAATAGACGGAATTCAAAAATAATATTTTTATATAATTATATTGAAAATGCGTATTGGCAGTTCCACAAAACAATATTTTTTTTATCATAGATTAATAGAAAAAATTCTTTCCACGTATTGCTTCATTCAAATATTTACATAAAAGTATGTCATGTAATGTTTATGATCTGAAATCATGGAAGATATATGGATTTTGGTACTTAAGGTTATCCACAAATAAATTTTCTTTTATTTTCTAAGATATTCCTGTAAATTGTGAAGTAACTTATGAATAAAAAATGTTTAAAATGTTTCATTAATGACGCGATAACACGTCATTATTAAATTAGAATCGATTTATCAATAGCGTTATCATTTCGTAGTAACTCAACATGTTAATGAATGTATAATAAGAAATTACGCATCAGATAAAGTCAAAAACTAAACAAACCATTATTGATTTTCCGTATTACCTTGAACTGTTATGTTATGTAGCTGTATTTGTAATTTTTCAAAACTCCTTTACCATAAGTTTGTATATAATTGTTGTATGAAAAACATTTAAAAAAAAAGGATGATACAAACTATTTTAATTTTTTGATGCAAGAACTATTTAAAAAAAAGAAGATTAAGAGCTTTTTTCGATTGCACGTATACTTTAGACAACAGTGTGGAGTGTGATAAAATTAATTATTTTCTGATTGTCTAATTGATCAATTATGAAAGCAAGACAATTGTGGACAATTTAATGGATTATCCAAGTTAAGATAAACTAATAGCATGTACTTTCTGACTTGGCCGATGCTCTGGACGCTCAGGTACTTTTGGACGGAGGCTTGATTGCTGCAAAACATGGTCGTCCAGTAAAAAGTCCCACCAATCACGACGCTCCAAAAACTATGTCTCACCGTGGGGTTCGGGCTTAGGTTGAAAAACTCGAGTCTGCCGGTTTCTTGACTGTCGTTCCAGATCACCAAGGGACCGCCCGCCATCAGCCCGCCCCACATGACTATGAGCAGCAACGAGCCCATGAGAACTACCGCTTGGAACGTGTCCGTCATTATCACGGCTTTCATGCCGCCCTGGATAAATAACACGAACTCGTACACTATTCAATTCGTGCATCATGTGACATTATTTTTTTCTCGTGAGCTCGAAAAAAATATATTACGTGAGGTAAAACATAAAAATCCCATGTTAAAATGAATGGTTGGACTGTTTTTTATTTTATATAAGTTAGAATGACCATTTTTTAGGCAGTAAAAAGAGATTTTCATTTTTATTAACTAGCAAAGATTTTTCAATAAATGGCCAGAGGAAGCTTCGTGCCCAATTTGTATCAATGATTCTCAACCAGAGCCTCATAAAAGGATAAAGAAAAAATGTTAAAGTAATGTACTCACTTGGGAGGCGTAAAAAATACAAACTGCATAGACTAGAGAAACCGCGGCGTAAGTGTTGAGGCCGGTAACTGTGAAGAAAAAAAAAACAGACAATAATCCTCTAATAGTTGTAAAAAGGTAAAAAAAAGTTACAAAGCACCCACCGTGACTTAAAGCTAGAGCTGGCGCGTAAACAGCCACAGACGTGTACAGGATCATTTGAAGCATGTAGAGGCCACTCGCCAGTAATCTGCAGTGCCTGTCGAAGCGCAGATTCAGGTACTCGTAACTCGAGGTCAATCTCAGCTTCATGTACACCGGGAGGTAGAGCTGCGAAGTTATCGGAACCACGAGGACGAACGAGACACACGTCATCCAGAACTGCGTACCCTGTGACGCAACTCGTTTAATATACAGAGTCCTAATAAATTATTGGACTTGATTTCTCTCCTTCTCCTTTTTTTTTTTTTTTTTTCCTTTTGTAACCTTGTCAACTCTTTTAAGTGTGGAAACACGTGAGTCTCAATTAAGTATTTGTCACAAACACGTGAGCGCGAGAAAAAAAACCTATTGCTCGGTAATTCTTTCGTTCGAGCATCTGCGCGACTCGACTCATTCAGCTTATTCGATTTGAGCGGTAAATTTTTATTCCTCGACGACTCAATATTCCTCGTTTGCAACAACACGACACATCTCACAACATACAAGCTTCATTGAAACTTCGTACCAACTACACTGCACCAATAAGTCGTAATCAAATCAATCGTATAGCTGAACTACTCGATCAAACGATTTCACGTATACCGTCGTAATCCTTAAAGTTATGCAAGAGAAAAAAAAAGAAGATTAAAACTCACGTGGCCATACATCTCGGCGGGATTGCCCAGCAGTTCAATGGCGGTGATGAAGCTAGCGGCCAGTGACATGGCCATCGGCAGAGTGCCCATGTCCGAGCCGCCGAGTAAAAAGTCCTCACTGGTCTTTTGCTCCTTGGTGAAGCAGGCGTAGAACGTCCCGATCATGCTGGACACGATGAGCATCGTGCCCAGGACGCTGTAGTCGTACCAAGAGAAGAAATTTTTCAGGATCGACTTTTCAGCCGCACAATCTTCGGCGCTGCTGGTGCTCTCTTTGGTTTTGCTCGTCGTTGGAGTGGAAGCATGCTCGCGATGCCGTTGTTCGGCCGATGATGATGCCAACAGCGCGAAGAACAGCATCAGCAGTAGGACGCGCATTTTCGGGATTTGACTTTGAAATGTCTTTTGGAACGCTAAGAGGGAAAAGTACATTCAGAAAAATGTCACTATCGATCTTGTTTGGTGTCAGTAAATATCGCAGGTTGAGAGTTGAAGCGTTAGATTTTTAAGTTAATACAGTAATGTGACTGCCAAGGCTTGTGGTACTGGACTGATAAAAATTTTTTTCTAATTTACGCAGAATACTGGAATTCGTTCATCGAGTCATCGACGTTTTAGATAAGTACTTTGAAGTTAGACTGGTAAGAACTAGAACCAAGCAGTTTTGTAAATCGTTGGAAAATGATTAAATTCGTTTGTAATTACTTTAACAGTGTATATATAAGAGTTTAATTTTTTTTTTAAAGAATGACGTGCTTTACTTTACTACAAGTAAAATGTTCTAACATTTCATAATATATGGTACATCTTTATTTTTGGGATAATGTTTATAAATTTCTGATGGGATTCGACATAATCATTTTTGTTTTTATGATACATTTTGCAACTTTACACCTCGAAATTCTGTACATACTTGCCTGATTGTATTGCTTATCATTATAAGAACTGTTTGGTATCAGAAAGCTCTGTTTTGGGAGTAATTTATGATTGTTAACGAAAAAACTGTTACTGTCTATTGAATATTGGAGTTACGAGGAAACATCTGTGCAAATATATGGGAAAACCCATTGTCCAACACACTTTGATCGTAATCATTGATTATCATTCGATTACCGATTCCACTTGATAATAACGTATGCGTTATTACCTCATATATTATGCAACGATTACATCAGCTCTAAGACTCTCCGATCGGTAACCCAATCGATGTCCGCAAAATGACCCTTCTCTTGAGTCCATCAACAAAATAATAAAATGCTTATCGATTTATGTGGCGCAAAATGCGATGCTCGGTCCATCCGTACACATTTTTTTTTAATTTCGCAAAAAGAGGAAGTGTGACAGCGGAAAAAAAGGATCTACGTCAAAGAAGTGCTGCGCGGCAGCAGCAACTAATTCGATTCTGCAGCCGGCGTGACCAACGAATGAATTTATATCGATAAAACCACGAGAGTGATCGGTATCCCCAGATTGATCCTACAAGTGCACATGCATTGTATTTTTACACATCTACATTCGATAATTTCTGGTTTGATGCGGTTTTCTATGTATCGATGAATGTCACAGATTGTTCCGTATCCAAACATATCCCTCCTTTATCTCGTCCACGTCTCTTTTCTTCTTCCTCTCGGGTGTCTTAAATTTTTCTATTTTTCGTATATGTTTCAGTTACTTCTTCTTTTAACGCTGCACTGATTTTATTGAACGACGTCAAGTTCAGCAAGTGCAACGAAACGAGTTTATTTTTCAGGGTGACGTAGAGGAAAAGGACTGAGAGGCTATAACTATTGTGATTAATCAAATTTTACTGCTGAATTGGCGCGAGAATTCCAACGTTGCACTATCATTGAAGTGCTCCATCATTGCTTCTTATTGTTTAAAAAATGACCCGATCGTGTCATTCTATTACGTCTACGCCCAGAACCTGATCTTTTTTTTATTTTTTATTGCAACTTTTTTGAACATGAGTTTAATAATAATTACATAGTTTATCTGCATAATTGTAGGAAATTTTGTTGTATATTTAAATCGTAAAAATTCCTACAATCATTATTAGCTTGCTTAATAGTTTCCATAGACATCATATTTTATTCAAAGCAGAAGATCAAAGTATAGCTGATGTTAATTAAAAAAAAAAAAAAAAAAAAAAAACAATTGGACTTTTATAAAAGTTTGAAATATTTCTTCTATCTCAATATGAAATATAAAAAAATTTCCTGTTTTACGTTACATTTTTTAGTCACATACGTTGAAATCATAATCGTGCTTTAGGTATAAAAGAATTTTTATGTTTCGCTCAATGGACAATACCTTGTTTAGCATGTACGTAATTAGGCCTTACTGTGTCGAGAGAATTAATTTAGGTGCTAATTATAAATTTTAATAAAATTTTAACATATATTTTCTCACGCTAAAAATTCAAAAAACTAAAGTAATCTTTGATTCTTTATTCATCCGAAAATATTTTAATCAGACTAAAATTAAAACCAAAGTGAAAAATTTTTGTTAGTTCTGGAAACTTTTATTTAAAACTTATAAGATTTTGAAGTTAAGCTTTAAAATTGATGTAAAATTTATGCAGGGATGCAAGCCTTGCAATCTTCGTTCTTAGTCTAATCTTTCGCAATTTTTAAAATCTTTTAGACGCAAAAACAATCTTTTAATCTCTCAGATTATTCTTAAAACTGTGTCCAGCTGGAAAATAATATTATTACAAAGTGAGAGAAAAAAAAATTACAAAAGTGACTGTGCTAGAATTATGATCTGATGCTGTTTCATTGTCCAAAGATTTTTTATTGCTTAGAACAGCAATTTTTATCGAATTTACAGTGATTATCATCGTTTGTACAATAAAAGTAACTGGCAATAATTACGTAAATAAACGTAAGTATGGTAAGAATTTAGATGCAAAACGTAAAATGTCACTAGACTGCGGAATAACCAAAGGTAGCCATTCTAAAACATTAATTTTTATCATTTTTTATCTCAGTGCATACTGCAAGTCGAAAGCGTAGGAAATGTATTCGATGCATATTTGGACGTACTTGGATAGTTGGTCATAAATAATTAAAAGTTTTACTCAAACTTATATTCCACAACTAAATTATTAGTAGTAATAAATGAAGTATTTCAGGGATGATTTATGATTCATTACTGTTTTTTAATACTTTATCACGATAGCTTCCAAATTAGATTACTGTGTACGCGCGTACACTATTAATCAAAAGATATTCCTAACAAACTTACGAACTAAAATTTAATAGACCTTAACGTTAATAAAAATTATTAGGTTTTAGAGATTGACATCATTAAAAGGTTTTCAACTCTCAAAATCCTGTGAAATGCAATAGTAAGAATCTTAAAAAAATAAACATCCTTATCTAAGTCACTCGAGAATTCCGTTAATAAAAATGAAATATAAGTCCGTTGCCTGATAAATTATTTCTAAAAGACAAAAAAATAATTAAAAATAATTTTATGACTTTCTGGAGTACACATTGTTAACAACGACTTGATAGTCACTTAGCGCGTTTTAGAATTCAAATTTAAATCAAAGTGAATGTATGTCATTTAGAGTTTTTGCCAATGATTAAAAATCATTGGCTTCTTATTAGGAATAACAAACTTTTTTCTAGTATATTAAATCGTCGATTTGATTTTCAAAAATTGGTACTTTAATTTTAAAATAACTTAATTTCAGTTTTTTTAAAATCTTTCATCCAATCCGACAAACTTAAACAATAGATCAAATTAATGTTAAAAATGAATATCATGACAACTTTATTACTCACCTTCGGTCAAAACTAGTAAGGCACTCAAAAAATCGTCAAGGTACACGACCAGTCACTGGTGGCTCTCAATATCCTTCCACAAATCTTGAATCTGCACTAAGGATATATCTCTTGCTAGTAGAATTCCTCACTCTTAATAATAGCCTGTGTTGCTGCTGTTTCTCAAAAAGGTACGAAACTGGAGTTGTATGATTTTGCTTGTTTTCTTCGCGTAACGCATATATCAAGTGTGCCACCTGAGCTTCGTTATCGGATGATCCTGCCTTTTCCACGACTCTGTGTGTTTTTATTCAATAAGTCATCGAATTGCACTTGGCCTGACCAGGACACCACTGTTATGACAATCTCGGGACAAGAATCGGTTGTGGTACAAACAATGGATACAAGCGTGTGGTCGAGGATCGAAGGTTGGATCGGTTTTCAAACTGATCGTTTTAACTGTCACATGTGCCCCTTTATACGACCATAACTGCTCTTCTTCCCCCCTAGAGTTTCTCGTGCAGTATTATAGTCTGCTGTCTCCTCTTTCTCTCTCTCTCTCTGTTGTATGGCTCATCTCTTCCCTCCCCAAGAGCGTGTGTGAATGCTGGTCTGCTCCTCGAGACTTGATGAGCATGCGATGTCAACATTGGGCATAACGGGAGAAACGCAACGAGCGACAATAGACGGAATATTACGCGATCAGAGATCAAAAAATTGATTTACGTAAGCACCAGTCTGTGACACGATGTACGTGTGCTTGTCCATGGCACGCGTTACTTATTCATTCGTTGTACGGAACCATGGGCCTTGTCCTCGGTCGCAACAGCTACAAAGTTTAAATGTATTTTTAATGATAACGTGACAGTGGGTGACTGACGCGGTGCTCTACGCGTTATTGTAGTTCTTTTTTTTCATGTCATGAATTAACTCTATCTAGTAACCTTGCTCCACCTCTATTTCAGATGTGAAAAAGGACCAAATGTATACAATTATGTGAATAACATTTTACAAAAATTAGTAGGAAGAGACTTGAACTAATCAACCATCGTTTTGTGGTCACTGAGCCCAAAAGGAACTTACATGCTAGGTGGTAGAAATTTTTTTGAATTTTTATCCATTTTTTTATGTAGTGGACATTTCTTAATCAAACTTTGTTTTTGAGACGAGGAATTACTTAAAAACGACCAAACCTCCATACCAACCAATATTTTTCCGCTGAGTAACTTGTCAAAACAAGAAAATTATGCTCAATTGGACTGCTGATTTTGTCAATATTGTTAAAGACATTTTTTAAAGGCGAAAGTATAAAACTTACAAGTTGGAATGTTAGACATGGGTTCAGTAACTCATGTGAAAGAGATTTTTCCATTGTTTCGTAGACAGAAAAGCACGTACTTCGTTAACGAACTGTTATTTTTTCCTACAAATAAATTTACGCAGCAAGCGTGGCTGACTTTTTGACATTTGGTAATTTGATGTAAGGGAATACGCTAATTGACTGACAAAAATACAGAAGCCTTGTACCTTTTGTGTCATGATAGACTCTTTGTTAGTGGCTCTTCATTCATAACGTTTTTATTTTATTATTTTTCTTAATGACTATCTGTATTGTTTTGTATTTATTGTCTGTTGTGCACAATCTTGCAAAACAAGACTCGTGACAAGTACCAAACATCAATAATTCAAATTGAATATCAATCTAGATTGAATCTAAATTGTTTTAGAATACGTTTATTCACTACAACTAAAAATTTTTCGTTCTTCGTTGTTCGATCAAATAACTGCAGGTGTTCTGCCATTTGTAATGACAGTTAAAAATAATCCAAGAAACTCTTATTTTCATTAATACAAAATTTTTAAATATTCGATTTGATAATTCTTTAAAAAAATTTTGAAAGTAAAATTTTTTACCAAAAAAGAAAATCTTGTTTTAAATTATAAAACCAGTAAAAAACAAAAATATTTTACAGCTGTTTGCACGTTAGTACAATGGTAATAAAAAGTTAAAAATCAATATTGAATAATAAAATTTGATACACTAAATCAATGTTGGGCAATAAATCATTGATGATTAGCAAGACAGATTTTATTAGAATATTTCTTTCAATAATAAAACAAAGGTTTATTTGGAATACCCAAATAGTACATCTGTATAACGTCTTATCACACATATTTAATAAAAGCTTTTGATGTAGTTCTAAGTAAAAATTTCTGAGTAATCGGAAATGAATGGATTTTATAATTCTTTTCCAATGTTGAGCAATAATATTCGAGTACAAGTTTTCTAAGTTACGACAACTCTGTGTGGTAATTTCAGATGAACTACTTACTAGTGTTTTTATTTGTAAACTTATGGAATTTATACAATGACAAATGTCTTTTTCCATACTTCTTGAGATGTATGTTATTATATCACTTTGAAATACAAATAAAAATTTTTATAAAAACTTTTTTAATCTTTTAATATTCGGACATATTTCTTGAAACTTAAAATCCTACTCTAACATCTATAAGTTCATTGCTTAACTGCATCTAAAATGGAATTTTTTTTAATTTTACAATTAATTTTCATAGTACGGATTCCATACTGCCAACAAATCAACAGATTCTTAATAGTTGAGATGCTACTTGTTCCAGAGCTCTATAGCTACAGCTTATGATAAACTGTTATCAAAAAATAATTTTTGGAAACCATAATTCATTATGTATAGTCACGCAGGCATTCGAAAGGAATATAAATAGTCGATAAGTCACTAACCCAATATGCGTATGATAAGATAACCAAAGTCATAGATGATTAGGACTCTTCTCTTTCTAGATAAGATTACATGAAAAAATTGCTGAAGTAAAAATACTTTTTTTTTTCAAATAAATGTTAGTGTGAATCTAAAAGAAATGTAGTCTCGCAAATGGTTGCAACAATAATACATGTTTATTATCTATAAAATTGTACATTATTCTTATACTGAAAGGAAAATAAAAATAATTAAAGTAATCAAGCCACACCATTGTAGCACCATTTTATTGAATCAACTGGTTTGACTCTCATTTATCAAAAACAATTTGATTTTTACTATTCAAGTTACAAAAATCTTGATTTATTAAACTGTTAAATGATTTTTAGTGATAATAGTTATGAAACTTAAACAGAATAACGAGAATGTGAATTGAATGTGAAATCTAAATTTTGTAAAGATAGATAAGGCATAATATATATTCTTATCCCCCTCCCTGCCACGAGACATGTAATGGGAAACTAGCAGGTTTTGTAAGCAATCAGTTATTAGACTTGAGCAACAAAATTTTTATATAATAATTGAAATAATTGGAAATTATTGTAACAAACATCAAAATGCCCACACTTAATTTATATGTAGATGAAGATTATAGTTTATTACGTATGAGTTGAATAAACGGCTGATACGGATGTACTTATCAGAGATATTATCCAGAGAAAATTTATTTTCTAAGTTTGTAGAGGCATATTTGCAGCACACTAAGAGTGAAAAAAA